GTCAATGCCTTCTTGCTTGAGCCTTAATCTGCGTAACAAAAAGATCTGGCGAGGGGGTGACAAAAATGATCAGAGCATTTTATTAGAGAAAGCAAGTCGGTGAAGATTAGGATTGCACTTCAGAAGGGAGCGTCGGGGGAGTGAACAAAAGGCTGGCTGGCACAAAGAAGACTGACCAGGGCTTTCGTTTCCCCTTTCACATCATGCAAATCTAAAGCAACAGACAATTATTTGTATTGCTTAAAAGAAAAAAAAAAAAATCAGCAACTCGAGCCTTAATTAATCTGCAGAACTGCTTGCTGCAAAGTATTGCAGCGATAAAATATAGCAAGAATCAAAGCGCGGGGGAGATTAAGCGTCTTTAATGAAAGAGAGGACACCCACAGCCACAGCCGCCAGGACAAAGGTAGGGAAAAAATCAAAGTCTTCATGTTTTTGTGCTTATAAAAGCCGCTGACTAACAAGGTTTGGGGCGGATTATTCCACAGCGAACAATCGTGAGGAAACTTCTGACGGCCGATCTGGCTGTTTTCAGGGAGGAGAGACCAGGGCAGATGGACAATCCAGCCCTCGCTGAGTGTGGGGGTTCCTTTCTGCTGGGTGAAGGACGCAGGCTGTAGACGCCGCTGCAGGAACAACGGGACTCGAGAAGGGCTGCCCAAGGGCTCGCTGCTGCCCGCCTGTGCGAACCCCAATTTCCAGGGTCATCCCTGTGTTTCCTTGGTCTCTCCTGGTCTTCTTGGCTGTTTCTTCACCATCTGGGTTGGGGCAACCACTTCTTTCTTGTCTTTATTGTGGGTGCAAGCAACTTCTTTGCTCGAGAGAAGGAGGCCCACTCCAGGACCTATGCTTTTACATGCCAGGTGGGTCCCATTTCTCAATCTATCCTAACCTATGCCAAGAAAGCAATCCCATAAAACGTCATCCTAGAGGTCTCCTTCTCTGAGGGTATCTATCTTGACTGTGTATCAGAGTTACTTGAGAGAGCATCTACAAACCCCCCTTGGGCTGCTGTTCCTCATGAAGGATGTCCCAGGCAGGATTCATCTCAAGCTCTCCTGGTAGGACAGACAGGCACCCATGGGGAGTCCGTCCCCAGAGATGGGCTAAATGTCTCTCTGGGGAGGTCTCTCTTTCTCTCCACTGAATATAGAGGGACCTGGGCTGGAAGGGTTAGAGACCTAAGGTCTATACAGCTAAAGGGAACCAAATCTTCCCTAAATGTGGCAATTGCTGCAGCCGTTTAAAATACTTGAACATTTCCTAGTCTTTTTTTCTTTCTTTTCTGAGCTGAAACAAAATCTTTCCAGTGGAATGTGTGGATTTCATCAAGATTTTGCAAAGAGAAGTATTTTGTTTGGATAGCAACGCAGCATTTCTAGGGGTTGTTTCAATTTGTTTTCTAATAGGAACTCCAGCCTCCCAAGGATGGTGTCTGAGGTGTACAAGAAGCAAGATCGCCCCCCCCCCCCAAATTCCTCCTCCTGCAGCGATTTGGTGCTCCCTCTCACTTGGGTGTCCCCTTGGCCATCTCCCCACGCAGCGGTGGAGCTCCTGCCTGCGCAAGGCACAGGCAGTGGCCGGGGACAAGAGACATTTTATAATGTCCGGGCCAATACGCAGGAACGCCGCTGTATTTACATCCCTGGCTGAGCAGGGAGGACGTTGCTAGCCTAAAAAGCCACTAATAAATTTGCGGGTTTTTTTTTATGCTGTGGAGCTCTTTTCATTTTATTTTTTCAGTGTTATATCCTTTAGGGGAATTTGAGGGTGGCCAGCACACATCTAGGGGAACAAAACTTGTTTAATATTACACATTAAGATTTTTAGTGGGACGAAATGCCGTTAAAGACCCTACCAGAAGCACATAAAACCAAACAAAACACAATAGATCCCTTACAGAGTCATCCGCAGTAAATGACTTTATTTAATAACCTTGCAAAATAACAGTGAATTTAAACTGTGATGTGGAGAAGACAGCACCAAAAGGTTTTGGCAATGAAACCCTCATTCCTG